TTGTCATCACAATAGAAAACTTCTGTTATGTCATCTTCATTTATTACCTCTTCATCACATTTCTTCACAAATTCCATAAACTGGAAAATTTCACTTTTGTTTGGGTTTTCCAAAAACTTTCAAATTTGTGACTATCATCATAAAGCTTAGCATCTGTTTCTGCTACATACTGTTTTGCTCCTATTGTATGCTATAGAAATTAGGTCTGAATTATATTAATTTTGTTATTTATGGTACTTAGGTCTATTTGCCACATATGTTTAAGGTGTATCCAACTCCTGCTACACATTTTGGTGAATTTTTTTAATTGTAAACAACTTCTAGTTAAATATAGCATTTTACAGATATTAAACACATACACACTATGTGACAGATGCACAAAATAAAAGTACCCTTAAGAATTATCGAAACAATAAATTAGTTATTCTTAATTCAAACAGCATTTAATGACCTACGGATATCATTTACAAAATCTATTTTTAGAAACTTCCATTAAATTTCTCATCAACACACGTAACACTCGGCAACATAGTTGGCTAAACCTTCCGTTGGCTCAATTTTGATATATTCTGGTCCTGAAATTATAGGGTGTTTTTTTTTTTTTTTGTTTTGTTATTTTCTCTATCTACGCATATTACTACTCACATCTTTATAAATAAAATCAGTACAGTGAAGGAATTTTTAATAGTTTTTTTAATTAAAAAAATATACCATAAGGCTCACACAATTTTAGTGTGCATGGAATAAAAATATAAAAATACAAAGGACCTTTTTCGATTTTTGATAAATATACACGATACCTAATTTATACAGCTAACATTACCTGTACTCACTTATTATATAAATTTGTTTTCTATTATGGTAAATTTTGCAACATGGCTCTAAACATAATCCAACTTTATATTCTTCACACCAAATGTGAGTCTCTTTACATAATTTTTCCCACTGTTGTCTCTTTTGGAGCAACACACAGCACATTGCCTTCTAGGTACCTTTTTTATAGGATTTGGTGGTATGTGGCTTGCAAAATGCCTCTCTACCAGGCAAAAATCGTGCATACTATTATCACTAGACCGTACTGATGACTTTATAGCAGAAGAATATTTGTCAAAGATTACCCTTGATCACAGCTAGCTTGAAACCAAGAAGAGATTTTTTAATGTTTGTTATTTTTCTATATATTATATATGAATTCCACATCGCTTGATCTAATATACGGAAAAATATTTTCTTGTAATATTTATGAAGTTGTTTCCAGGTACCAGGGTTGTACAACATCTCCTGATTGCATCTGTCAACACCATCCATTGCAAAGTTATAATCATAAATCACTTTTGGTTTTAGTTTTTCATTTGCCATCCCTGAATAAATTGATACAGGTGACACATCATGAAAAGAACTAAGCATCTTTATTATTTTCTTATCATTCCACATTAGCACCATAACTTTTCCACACTGATATGCAATACACTGTCCTTTTTCCACTTTTTCTTTTGAAAAACCTGGTGGTAAGTTCTTTCTAGTACTAGGAAGCGTCCCATATATGTCTGTTTTCTTTTGAACAAGAATATCTGCCAAATATGGCGACACATATAAAAATTATCGAGAGTTATACAATATCCTTTGTTCAGATACTAGTGTACTAGTTGAAGAATAGCAGCAGTTGATTGTGAATATGTTGAGTATTTTTGTATGAAATGCATACCTTCTCCTGTGTACAAAAGAAAATTGCATATACAGTACAAAGTCTTTAATCCAGATGTCCATAATCCGGACCTCAAAGCTACAAACTTTCTGCGCATGCGTAAATGCTACGCATGCACATAATACATTTACGCATGCATGTTTAATGTATAATGGACAGTATAAGCTAGGCTAAAATTATCTAATCACCTATTTCAGTTAGTGTTGCAGACTGTTAAGCAATTTCATAAAAAGTAAGCTTGAACTTTAGATTATGTCAAAAAGAGTTTCCGATTCTGGACTTTGTAACTGAACAAGAAATTATGTCTGTTTATACTATTAAAGAGAAAGTATCAGCACATAAAACGAAGCAACTTAAACAACTTACATTGAAAGAAATGTTTAATAAAGTTAACAAATAAATATTAAGCTTTTTTTTTGTAAATTTTGATACCCTTTAGATCATAACTGCTCTTTATTTCATAAATTATGGTTTCATATTTTTTAATTTTATAATTTCTGCATGTCATCTTACCAGATTTAAACTGATGATCTATAATCCAGAATCACTGAAGTCCCGACGAGTCCGGTTTAAAGACTTTGTACTGTGTAACCTGATGAGGATTCACATAACATGAAAAACTTTATTTCAAACCGAGAGTATTTCAAAAGAATATACCGTTTCCATGACACATGACCCTTAAAAAGCATTAAGAATTCCTCTACACTGACCTGCTCTTTGGGATTGAGTGTTTCACAAAACGTTTTCCTAATACGCCCAATGACATCATAAACTTTCCACTATTTAGGGCAAGGGTGCATTGATGGGTTATAACTTTCATTATCAACAAAATGGAGATTTCTCATCAAGGAGTAAAAACGATCATGTGACATTATTTGCGTATATATTGGTGTTTTTATAGATTGCCTTTTTGACAAATACCAATGCTAATCTGGCTTTTTTACCACACCTTGGAAAAATAAAAGTGCAAAAAATAACATAATTAGTCAACATTAGTCCGCCAATATGGTTTACACTTCTTTCAAAGTTCAGGCTTCTTGGCAGAATGTTGAGATGCAAATCTATTAGTTTCATTTACTACCAAATCAAGTAAGTCTTTTTCCACAAATAAGGTAGAAAATTCAAAAAACTAATCTTTGTCAATTACATTGGCTAATGGATCACTAGAAAAAGGAAGGGAAGAGCTGGAGGAGAATTTTTCATGTTTATTTTTGTCCACATACGAGCATTTGGAATTGCAATATCATCACTATCATTAGCGTCTTCTGCTTCGGTTTCACTACCAAAGGACTGACTTCCTGATGATTTTCACTATTATCAGCACTCTCCAAATTTATGGAATATTCAGAATTACCATCACTATTGCTGTCTTCATAATCAACATAGTTTCATTCTTTATTCACAAGTAAAACACCACTGCAACCTAGCAAATCCATATTTTTGCACTTGTTTCTTGCGTAAATGACAAAGATAATACCCACCAAGAATGAAAGAAACAACGCGTGCCGATCGTGTTTGGCCATGAAGAATAATAGTACTCTCTCACAATGATATAAACCTGTAAAAAGTGCCATCTAGGTGCAAAACAGAACATGAAATATGAATATTACAATATTCTTAGCCTACATGGAGAAAAAGCGGGATCTGTACCGAATATAAGAGAAATAAACTTATGCATGCTATTTTCACATGACACATATTACGAGATGGAATTGATATCCAGTGGAAATCACAGGGGCCGTACGCGGAGGGTTAAGGTTGTAATTGTTGCCAAGCGTAATATCAGTATAAAAGGTTACCATGTTGTTTGGTATTCGAATACCGAAAACTTATTTTAGCTATCACTGTGAGTTATTTCTTAAGCTGCCATGAGTTGACAGCTATTAGATGATGAAAACAGAAAATAATAGAAAATGACTCGCCAGGTTTATTTAAGAGTTATATGATAACTAGGCGGAAACTTAGACAGAATGTTTTGGCTTAATATGTATGCTGAGCAATAAGGCAGCTACAGAGTGAAATTACGATCATGCAGATTTATGCTAATAAATGATTGTGTTTCTTCAATATGGAGACATTTTGTTTAGTTCTGAACCAAATTTAAGTATCAGGACCCTCCAAATGCTTTTTATTATGGAAAAAAAATATTTTATAAAAATTTATTTGAAGAATGAGATAAAAATTTCCAACTGTGAGCAGACATGCATGTATAAATACTTTTACTTTATGAATTTTGTTCAGTAATACAATTTAAAGTAAAATTTCAGTAATTCAGTTAAAAAATGCATCTACTAAACATATTATTTGAAACACCTGCTGACAGATAAATACATCATGTTACTTCTATGTATAAAAATTCATTTTCAGACACACACAGCAAATTTGGTTAATAAAACAGACAGACTGAAATTATTTAAACACTTATTTTATGTCATCATTCCATCTCTAATTTTCTATGTTAAAGTAAGATACTAAAATAATGACATTTAAAAATTAGAATAATTAGGCAGAAATTATTAATAATTTCACAAAAAAATATCGGTGCAGAGACTAAAATCAGAGAAAAATTTCAATTTTGTGGAAAAGACTCAACTAATATCAAAGTTGATCATGCAGATTTTCTGTCTGAGAAATGCTACAATCAAAGTTTCTTCAGTTAATTATACTCCAGTTTTCCTCCCATAACCAGAAATATCCATACATAATGATGAATAATCTGTCAAACATAAGCAACTTCAGAATAATTAGGGCTGTTAGTTTTGCTTTTATTACAAACCTATCAAGGGAGATAAATCACACATCATTTGGATAAGAACAGATAAACTAATAACAGAACTAAACCTTTTTCACAAAGAAAAAAATCTTTAAAAACTTTCTTGCACAGAAAACAAAATATAACTTAAAAAACAGCACAATTGTAAAATTTAAAATTTCAGACTTAGTAGTTTGCTTCTAAAAATTTCTGCAATTCACAAATGTTATCGGTTTAAAAATACCATGAAACCATAATTAACATAATTAATGAAAAATAATGCATAAATGAACCTATGAAATAAATTAACTTTCCGTTTAATGATGAGATGATTTACAGTAAACCACACAAAATTTGTTTTAGCAAAGTGTAAACGTTAATCATTTATTAGTCTAAGCTGACAATTTCAATGTTTCAGAAAATACTGCAGTTTTTTAACACAAAAAGATTAGATAATTTAATGAAAACTGAAAATTTTTTGAAGGAGTTTAGACACTAAAGCAATTCATTTAAAGAAATAGGTTTTTAAAAAAAAAAAAATACCTGATATTGCACTATTCATGCCTTCAAGACTTGAGCCAGGACTACTTGAATTTTCATATATTCTGCAAAAAATGTACACAAATCAAATACAAGCAAACACCAATGCTTGCTTCAAAATATGCAATTTCAGTTACAAAAGAAAATCTTTTACAATTATTAAAATTACATACCATTAATTCCAAAAACTACTTGTGCAATAAATTGCAACTTTAGGAAAATGAGTAGGCCTTTATTTCAGATTTTACTCATATATAAATACTTTAATCAATTGAGCCACCCTATTCATATAGTGGTTAACACTGCCAGCTACCATACTGTTAACTCTGAATACAAATCTCAGAGAAGGCATGGATCTTTGTAGTTATCTGAAACTCTAGCTCTTGTAAGTGTAACATCACTCTACCCTCTGCGACACACTACGGGCAATGTTCTCAGTAATGAAACGGCCAAATATTGAGTGCAGTCAGTGACCAATACTTAATGGAGTAAATGTCCAGCCATTAGGAAAAGTTATAAATTAATAAATAAAGAATAATAAGATACTCCATGCCTACAATGGACCATAGCTATAATATATGTATACAGTTAATACAACTGCATACACTCACTTCTCATTTGAAAGTGTTATGAAAAAAATCAAGAAGTATGGGTTCACTAAATGATATTTAGATTTATCCTAACATATCATATTCTTGAACAATCTTCCCAAACTTCAATGAACTATGCTTGCATATACATGCCTTACCTTTATTTTGCAGTTGAAAATTATTTTATATCATAAACAATACTCTATATTTTATCATGCATATCATTTTATATACTCAGATATGGGATATTTTCTTCTTCACTCTAAAAACTTTCATCGCATTCTTCACAGATATGCTTTGATCAAAATTTGCAACTGAGTGAAAATATCTTTGAGGGCTGCCCAAATGAAAAGTGGACAGTGCGATTACATCAGAATGACTGTAGCTACAGCAGTGCCACCGAACAGGGATCTGAAGGCTGGCAGGAGGTGTGCACCACATATAGCATTCAACAGTGAAACCTGTTCACAGTACAGAAAACTGATTGAAAGTAAAGTCATGCTATACATGAATGCATCCAGATTGGAATAATGTCCAGTTATACGGTTTCTGATTGCGGAAGGTGAGCATAATGCAGACATCTATGGGCGAATGAATGATGGCAGTCTATAGTAAGCAGAGTTTAGGTCGAGGGCTTCAAACAATTGGTGTTAATTTTTTTATCAAGAGCGGCAAAGATATTGGATTTGCACAGATACTGTATCAAGAGTGGCAAAGATATTGGATTTGCACAGATACTGTATCAAGAGTGGCAAAGATATTGGATTTGTTGGTGATCACGATGTTTTTCAAGCAAACATTGTGATCACCAACAACTACATTGCTGCTATTGATAAAATGATCAGAGCTAACTGAAGTGTTCAGACCCATTACATCAGTAACAAACTCAGTCTAAGTAAAGGAATGGTTCACAAAATCATGTACCAATACTTAAAGTACAGTAACGTGTGTGTGGAATACCAAAACACCTTACCCTTGATCATGAGAAACAACAAATGAGCCTCAATCTCCAGCACTTGATCTGTTATGGGGAACATCAATTAAGGGCGATGAGCCCTGGAATTACCCCTACACCCCCCCCCAAAAGCAGCATGCAGTGGAGACACACATCATCTATTCTATCAAGGAAATCAAAAGCGATGATGATTGCATGGAAAATCATGCTTTCATTTTTCTTTGATTGCCATGGACCAATCTTGATTGATTTCCTGCCTCAAAGGAGAACTATCAATTCAACACAATACTGTAGTACTCTGAAAAAACTTTGGAAAACAATCTAAAGTAAATGGCCAGGCCTTCTCACACAACAAGTGATCCTTCTCAATCACAATGCCTGTCCACACATCTCCTGTGAAACCCGGATGACCTTAAACAAATTCTGTTGAGAAGTGTTTGAATGTCTGTAGTACAAACGGAATTTATCATCCTGTGACCAACATCGTTGGGCTACTTAAGTACACTAGGCCAGTAATCCTCAGCCAATGGTACACAAGAAAAAAATAAGTGGTATGCAACAACCTATTTTTAACTACAGTACACAGGCCGAGATCCGGACGTCCAATATCTGGAAAGATCTAAAATATCCTGGCCTCAAAGCCACCAACAACTTTTTGTTTCCCTTTTTTAGGAATTTTTTTTGGTTTGCTTTACACATGCACATTTGATTTCCCTTCTCCCAATAATAAAACATGAAGAGTCCTTATTCTTAATTTCACTTTGGTACTAAATAAAATATCTTGTTATGAAAGAACCAATCATTTTAGCATAAATATGTGTGATCAATAATTTGACTGTAGCTGCATACAGCTTGCATACATCTTAAACTGAACATTCTAAATAGAAACATCATAGATTTTACCCCAACTAGTATTTTATATTCCTGATGCCAACTGGTGAATTACTCTTTATTACATTTTGTTTTTATCAGCACATGACAACTTAAATAATGACTCGTGCAGTGATGCCTAAAAATTTTTCTTATTTTAGCAATTGAATAACAGAGGGTATGGTAACCTTCTCTGTTGGTATTACACATGGCGATGATTACAGATTTAAGTTAAATATGCTAAGAAATGTTAACAGGGAAAATATAACAAAAATTTCTTTCCACATGTTAAAAATAGATTTTGTTAATGATACTCATACTCCAAAAGATTACATTTAGTGCTATTTCATTTAAGAATAACTGATTTGTTATTCACATAAACCCAGATACGGGCCAGAGCTCGTATAGCCACACCGGCTGGTGGAATTTTGGGAAGGCAGACTTTTTGGAATTTAGAGAAGCACTGAACAACAAAATTAAGGGAATGAGAAATTCTTTAGAATTTAGGAAAAGCACTGGGACCAAAAATTTAGAACTTAGGAAAAAAATTCGATTGACAAGTTAGTCAGAATTCTCGACACAGAAATTACAGGACATAAACATTAGAACTTTGTAACTGAACAAGAAATTATATCTGTCTATAGAATTGAAGAGAGTATCAGCTTAAACAACTTGTATTGAAAGAAATGTTCAATAAAGTAAAAGTTAAGCTTTTTTTTTCGGTAAAATTTTGATACCCTTTAGATCATTATTTCATATTTTTTATTTTATAATTTCTATATGCCATCTTATTGGATTTAAACTGATGATCTAATATCTGGAAAAATCCCAAATCCGGAATCACCAAAGTCCCGATGAATCCGGATCTTGGACTTTGTACTGTATTAAATTTAAAAATCTTGTGAAGAAAAAGAACAATTGATAGAAATTTCCTGTGATCAAACTCTAACTGAAGATAAAAAAAAAAAAAAAAAAAAAAAACCATACTTGCTAACGTTTGGCTGAACCGAAAAAAAGGAATGAAAGGCATTTCAAATAGAGCTATTAAATTTTTACTGCCTTCTATTTCTGTGAGCATGGATTTTCTTCCATGTCATATTTGAAAAATAAGTATAGAACAAAATTAAAAGTGGATCCTAATTTACCTTAAAGATAAGTGAAATATGACAAGATATAAAGAAAATGATCTCTCTTAAACACGCCCAAATTTCACAATACTATTTAGAATTAAAGTAACTTAAATTTTGATAATTAAAATGATAACCAATTTTAAATCTAATATTTTTATGTTTGCATATTTAACACAAATAGCCAACAGGTTGTGCAAATGGCAAAATATATATTTTTGAATATTTCTATTGAGAAATTGAAAAATAATCATTGTAAAAGATAGTGGTGGTAGTAAAGTTTTTCAATTTTTGTTTAGATGGTACGCTTAAGTCAAAAGGTCGAGAACCGCTGCAGTACACTTACAGTACACTAGGCAGGAGGGGTTTCCAGACCTGGGCTTTAATATGCATGCTCTTACATGGTTATATGCTAAAATGCCTAGAGGCAATCTAAGGAGATACAACCCCGCTGGTCGACCCAGACGGACAAAACTGTACACAGTCTGAGATAAATGAATGCAAGTCAGTGGCAACTGGCAAGCAGTCACCAACAAAGGGAATGAAGATATATCATATACTGTCCCCTGGTGTTGACCAAGGGGAGCCAACCCCCCTGAAGAGAACCTTCGGTATTTCACCATGTAACATCCTTACAACCAAGAGGAAAACAAGACAATAACAGTATGGTCCCTACCAAGCCTGAACCTACAACAGAATAAACGATGGTTTTATTCACTCTAAAGACTATTGATAATTTATGATCCCAGGAGCCGAGTCTCTCTAGGTACAGTTCCAAGCCAGAATGCCAAGAGTTGCCCCCAGGGAGAAGAGAGCATTACAGGGGAAATGTTTCCCTCTTGACGATGAATTGAAGAAAGCTGTGCAGAAATTTTTCAAGAATCAATCATGATCTTTCTACAGTAAAGGCACAGACCTGCTGCTAAAACGATAGGACCTGTAAGAAACTACAAAATATCTTGAAAATGCTTTTACTAATTAACCATATAGTAAGAAGGAATGAAAATATTTATGTACCTCATTTTCATCTTTGAACAACAAATCTGACCAGTATAAAATTAAAAAAAGAAAAAATAGCTGGTAGTAATAAAAACAGAGAAAGCATCTTTTGAAGTAATTTTCCATGATGAATTACACAGTATGTTTATCAGAAGTGTAATTCTGACTGCACTATATAAGAAAGTAATTCACCAGGTCAACATAAGCACTCAGCCTATACAATGAATGTTATAAATAAATGAAGATACAAAGGAATTTGAAGATTCATTTACACTTAGATCAGATGAAGATTTCTGTATACAGGACACAGAATATAGTTCATGGAGGAAGGAGAAGCATCTCAGCACAACTACAACAATCAGATAAAACTTTTTTCATGCCTAGAAATTTTTAGGGAGACAGATGAACTGTACATCATACAAAGGTTACCTACCTCAACGATCAGCTCATATTACAGAATGTTCTATGCAATACTGTTATGTTCACATTACACATAGAAAAAATCCCAAACATACTTAACAATCCTGTTTTCCAAAAAATATTTTCTGCAGTTGGCATGTTAGTGGTTTCATTCATGAAAAAAGATTCTATAATTTTACCAGATATTAATGAAACATTTCAACAACACTAATGTTGTTATCAATGATCTCCCTGAATAACAGAACTACAAGTCAGTAAAACACTAAAAAAATTCATATAAGTAATGGTAAGAACAGTAACAATGATAAATTACTTAAGTTACTTGTCTATCAAAATACTCTATAAACCACTAAAAACATGCAACATATTTAAATTAATTATATAAAGGAAAACCATGAAAGTACCCATGCAATCAGTCTGCTAAATAGAAATGAAACAATGATAAATGGTTAAGTGTTCAGTGATTAACGGGCATCAAATATGACAGTTATGTGTATCATCCTAAGACACTAATAATTTAAGAAATATTATTAAATTCTCTTTCTTGCTTATGAAAGTGGAAAATTTTTATGATTTACCAACGTTAATTCTTTTATTGCCATTTCTCATTATTTATAATAATATTTAGCAGTAGCATAACTTAATGATGTTCTATAACCCAATAGTAAATACAGTACAAAGTCCGAAATCCGGACTTGTTGGGACATCGGCAATTCCGGATTTGGGATGTTTTTGGATATTAAATCATCAGTTTGAATCTAGTACGATGGCATGTAGAAATTATAAAATTATAAATATGAAATCGTGATTTATGAAATAATGAAGTATTTATGATCTAAAGGGTATCAAAACTTACAAAAAAAGCTTAATATTTATTAGTTTACCTTATTAAACATTTCTTTCAATGTAAGTTGTTTAATTTGCTTCGTTTTTTGTGCCAATGCCTTTCTCTCTAATTCTGTAGACAGACATAATCTCTTGTTCAGTTACAGTGTTGATGTCTTGTAACTGCTGTGTCGAGAATTCCGACTAACTTGTTAACTGAAATTTTTTTGTTTTCAGTAACTTCCGTGTCCCTTTCTTCACTATCGATAGCAGTATTTTATGGATCTAGATTCTATGGTATTTTATGGATTACTACACATTTCGCCATTCAACTAATTGAAGATGATTGAGAAGCATTGCCATCACAATGAGAATCTTCTTTTATATCATCTTCATTTATTACTGCTTCTCCACATTTCTTTACAAAATCTGTTAAATGGAAAATTTCACCTTTGTTTTGTCATATCCAGAAACCTTTGAAATTTGCAGCTATCATCATCAAATTTAGCTCATTATATATACATATTTGGCTATGCATGAGCTTGGTGACTAACGACAAGTTGTTCCTTAAAATTTTATCTTGCTTCTATCGTGCACTAAGACAATTAAGCCTGAATTGTATTAGTTATTTATTATACTTATGTCTATTTCTTGCACATGCTTAAGGATTATCAAAGTTCTGAAACACATATACTTAAGCCTTATTGAGAGCCGTCGCTAGATATCTTACTGCCTCATGCAGCCTCTGTGGGTCCTAAATTCTGCAACCTGGTGTGGCCATTTAACCCTGGTGCTGGTTCTGGGTTTATGTGAATAACAAATCAGTTATTCTTAATTCAAATAGCCCTAAATGCAATCTTTGGGTCTATGAGTATCAACAACAAAATCTATTTTTACCATACGGAATGAAATTTTTGTTAAATATTTTAGCTCATTTAACTTAAATCTGCAATCATCGCCAATTGTCATGTCAACATAAAATGTTACCATACTCCTTTATAATTCAATTACTAGCATAAAAATATTGTTTAGGCATTGCTACATCAGTAATTACTCAAGTTGTCATGTTTTGATAAACATGCAGTGATGAACAGAAAATATAATAAATAATGATTCACCAGGCTGGCATCAATTAAAGGATGTATCTGTGTGGAATGTTTCGCTTTGAGATGTGTGCCAAGCAGATATGCAGCAACGGAGCCAAATTACTGATCATACAAATTTATGACAAAATGATTGTTTCTTCAATAACAAGGTATTTTATTTAGTGTTGAAATGAAATTGAGAATCGGGACTCTCCAGATATTTTATTATGCATGCAGGGGGAAATCAAATGCGCATGCGTAAAGAGTACGAGAAAAAACGTTGTTGGTGGTTTTGAAGTCCGGATTTTAGACTATTTCAGATAACATACGTCCGAATTTCGGACTTTGTACTGCAAGACATTTTATTTGAAAATTTGGGTCACATGGTCTTTTTAAAATATAACTTGTACTGAAATGAATAACAACTTATTAGAAATAATGCACTTTATGCCTTTGATTAATACTCTGATTTTTTGCTTTTCTAAAAGTAGATGACAAATCCAGTGATTGGTAAGAAAAATTCCTTTTTCGTGCTTTAGAAGAATAAGTAGTACACTACATGGTTTACAGTAATAATACAAGTAGAACAATACTTTTATGATGTAGTTAACCATAGGAAATTATTTACCTGTTTTTCAGAAGTTGGATTAATGATGATTTCTCTTCTAACATCTTCTTTAATAAATTTTGGTACAGTTCATTAGTAGATACAAGTTCTTTCATAAGCCTTAAATAAAGCATAAATAATCAAATCTTCAAAAACACAGTGAACATTTTAATGTAATGGCAGAAAACAAAGAAAAAAATAACCCACTGCAATTTAGCCTAGAAGTACTATTACATCAATACGAATCTGAACATTAATATTTGCTGAAAGCAGTGCTGAAATTATGAAATTATCAACTTTATTACATTATACAGATATATATATATAATTCATAATAATTTATAATAAGATATCTTTCCACATACCATCTCCAAGGAACACAAATTGAATTTAAAACCATGAAAGAAAAATTTTTTAGAAGATAAATAGCATTTTAAATAGTAATTTCAACTTCTTGTTTATAAATAGGCTATTTACTCTTGGTTTTGGATTTTTGTGATTAAAGACTTTTTAGCCTTTTCTTCTTTCTTCTAAAATATTTTTTCTTTCATGGTTTTAAATTCAATTTGTGTTCCTTGGAGATGGTATATGGAAAGATTTCTTATTATAAATTATTGGTTTATTATTTTGCAGCTTTAGTGCAAGTTTTAGGCTTTTTAATTTACTTTTAATTACTCTATATATAGATATACACTTTGCTTTATATTGCTCTTACAACTTAATTTTGATTTAATCATGCAATGTTATGCTTTTAATCTAATTTGAATGATATGTCTATTGAGAATGTTGGCTTCAGTTTAATATCTTTTATGAAAAAAAGATGTATAAATGGGTTATTTGCAAGGTGCATCTGAAAGTTTGGTGAATGTTTTCAGAAAATAAAGGAAAGAATAGTTACAAACAAATACCTTTATTGGCCTTCACAGTAATCACCATTAGCTATAACACACTTTCCAATAATGGTTGTAAAGCTGTTGGGAAATGTCAGCAAACACATTTTGCAGAATCACTCGAAGGATGGTTATCACGAGTTATTGGATCCGCGATGTCTGTGGAGCATTAAAGCCTTTCAGGGCTAATTTAATGCAAGGAAACAAAAAGAAGTCTAGCACCAAATCTGGAGAATAAAAACACTGAAGAAGAGACACCTTGTGCTGTGTGACAAAATTCAGCATGAGGATTGCAGTGTGCAGATGGACGATGTCGTGCAGGAAATTCCATTATCCACTCCAGAACAAATCTGGCTGAACGTGACGGATGCTTTGAAACAGCCATTTTAAAACTCACTCGTAAACTCCCAAGTTGACAGTTGACCCTTGAGTAGAAATTCGTGACAGATCAAGTCCTTGCTGTCAAAACAGGTGGTCAACATCATCTTAATCTTGGATTTTGTCAGGTGACTTTTTTTGGGAGGCAGGGAAGATGACGAACATGATGCCATTGACTGTTACTTGGTCTCTGAATCATACCGGAAGCACCAGCTCTCAGCTCCTGTAATAATGGCATAAAAAAATGCCGATTGCAGTCAGACATGTTGAAGATATCTTGAAATATTTCCATCCAAGTTTTTCTTCTGCTCGTTTGTCAGTATGTACATAACAAACCTGGCACAAATAATCCACTTTTTTTTAATGTTTCTTGAACAACACTGTCTTTGCCTAACTTCAACTATTCTGCTACCATTCTCAAAGACAGCAGACAATCATGCGCAAGCATCCGTCACACTTGTTCAATGCTTTTTGAGAATGTACTTGCTGATGGTCAACCCTAACACAACTCATTCTGGAAACCTTTCCTTTCAACTTTAAAGCATTTACACGACTCAACACATACTTTTCACTTTTTCAAGCACTGGTTAAACACAGTACACTTGCATTAATATTCCATGCAAATCTTCATGTTAACGTTTTGCTCCACTTTGCAATGACATGAGTTCTCATATTGATTCTTAGCTTGGTCACAGTATCCACCATTACTTCACTTCCATGATTTGCAGAATAGGGAATACTTGTCGACATGTCACTTAATGCATATGTGCTAGTGCCTCATCCTAACCAGCATAATTTTTAATATTTGAGATTATTCAATGAAATTTTTGAACACACCTTGCATATAGTACTTTCATAAAAATAATCAGCAATCCAAATCAACTTTTGAAAGCAAAGAAAAATTAAATATGAAACACAGATGCTTCAGTGTAACTAGTATGATTATATCAAATTGAACATATAAAATTTAAAAAAGGGGGAAAAAAAACCCTCGAGGTGTAATTACTTACATCAAAGTAATAATATTTCAGTTTAAAAAAATGAATACATACACTTTCCTCAAAACTTTGTTCCAAATCAGCATAATAGGTTAATTACATGCAAGAACCTAAACATTGTTAACATACTTACTTAATTATGTAAATATCAATTAAACAAACTCATAATTATATCTTTTCTGAGCTGTCTTAACATTTTACTATATTAAATTAAATTAAATTTCATAAATGAGTACGTATGCCGGTGCATTGTCGTGTAAGCAGGCGCATTGTTGTGGTGGAGAATTCAATCACCCTTGATCACCGGGCGGACGCAGTAGACTCAATCCCTCATGCGACAGAGCACTCCAGCATAAAAGTCACATGTGACAGTCTGTCCACAAGCAACAACTCCTTGTGAATCACTCCTTTACCATAAAAAAGAATCCACAATCAGCATGCACTTCACACGCGACTTGCTCATGCGAGCTTTTGCATGAGCAGGATTGTACTCAGTACACAGGATCATACTCGTAGACCCAGGTCTCATCACTAGTAAGCACTTTCTCCAGAAGGTTCGGATCAACATTCAACTGTTGGAACATTTCCTGGCAAACAGTCATGAGCCGTTTCTTCTGATCCACCGACAAAACTTCTGGCCCCACTTTGCCATACACTTTTTGCATCATCAAATTCTCCGTCACAATCCTCCACACCATACTCTGACAGAGTCCCAGTTTATCAGCAATTAATCTAGTACTAAGACGACAGTCATTGTTAAAAGTTCCCACACTCTCTCCACATTTTGATCCTTTCGGCTTGATGATGGCCTCCCAGAGCGGTTGTCGTCTTAAGATTAATTAGTTATAAAGAAAATAATCGATGCATTTTCAGATAGGCATAAAGCTCAAGGACGAGCTAATGTGACATTTATCAACAAATCAGGCACAAATGCATATCTATTTGGGTTATGCAGTGTTCCCACTACAGTTTAAAGGGCCATGAATATAATTTTAAGGCCCATACTAGGCAGATCATCATTTACATATACATATGACATAATAGTCACTAATAACATGATTGATAAGTACATCCATGAAATTTTTATACATCTAAAAGAAGCAGATTTAAAAGTGAATGTGTTCAAATGCAAATTTGGAATCAAAGAACTTCATTACTTAAGATAAAAAATATCACACCCACAGACTGAAACAGATAAATTCAAAATAAATGCAATTGAAAATTCTCACTGACAAATATGGCAAAGAAACTGTTGTTCTGAGCTTGTGCTTATACACAGGACATTTATTACAGATTTTGCAAAAACTGCAGTGCACTTGTTAAATTTAAAAAGGAAAATAGACAAAATTTAGTTAGTCGGCAGAGACAAATACAGCTTTTGAGAAGACTAGAACTGAAATTATCAAAGCTCCAGTCTTGAAACAATACATTAACATTAATTATTAATATACTGATTAAAGATTCATACTGCAAATTTTCTTTTATTAACAATTCATATTTCTGTTGCAACTCCATGAGCTCAGCATTTGAATACAGTTGAGCTGATGATTTCATGGACGCAGCAGTTGAAATTCCAAGTGTAGACACTTCTTCTGGTTCATTCTCATAATTTTTCCCTTCTAAATTATCACCAAGCTCTGCAAGATAAAAATAACTGCATATGACTGAAATCAGCTTAAAGATATTATATTTTTAATTTTTGACTTAGTAGTTTGACATATTTAATCATCATTTTATTGTGATTAGAAATATATTTCATTAATAAAAACTACATTTAATTCATGAGTACTGCTCATTACAAATATTTAGAAAATACACATAATCATATTTAATAATTAATGTAATATACATACACTAATTTGTGTATGATGATAAAATTTATGCAGATAAAAATGTTTTATGCAACAAAAAAATAACCAGCACAAATGACATACCTGGGGACAATATACTAACTGCAGCTTGAACAGAGCTTCTTACCAAATTATCTAATGCAAAAACAGCATGAGGCATGATGTTTTGCTGCCTTAAAATAGCCTTCACCTGCAAAATCATTACAATGATGATAATTCTGCAAAAACTTCCATTTTACTTGTAGCGATGTTTAATTATGAAAATATCTTATATAGTTCTGTAATTCACTGTACACATAAAATTAATTTTCCAGATAACAAGATTTTTAATTCCAAGTGCATATTTTACTTGTATAATGTTACAAAAAGTCTTTCATTTAATACTGAAGAACTTCAGAAGGAAATAGTGAGCAATACAACTTGAAAAACAGTAATTTGATAATGTATTAGTTTGAAGTTGTTTAGGCTTTATCATTTACAGAAAAAAAATTATGTTTAAGTAGTGCAGACAAATGCAATTAATTTCACTGACCTTGTACTTCGAAAAAGTATAAAAAGGTCTGAAATACATGAAGCACATTCCTTTCATTCCTAGATAAGATTGTAAAGTACACCAATGAGTACTGTGATATGCACTTGCTATACCAGTCATTAAACACACAAGCCAAATAAAGGTGTCATAGTGAACACATGAAGATAAAATGTGGCATATGATAAAATTTTGGTTTCAAATGCACTTGAAAGCATAAACTATTTTCAGTGAAATTTGTGACATCACGGAAACAGAACACACATTGTGCTTTCCTGACATAACAGAATAGATCAAGAGTTTTCTGAATGATGCTTCAAGAATGCTGAAAGATGCTCCAGTGAACTAACAATCCAACTCCAGAGGCATCAACAAATAATGAGGTTGGCAAAATTAAATGTCTGTAACATGCTACATAACAGCAAAGCCCATCTGTATCGTCTGGTAATGGTATAGGATTAAATTACTAGTGATTGAGAAAGCCATTAAAGATTTTGCAATTCTGATTCAAATGTTTTAGATGAAAACACATCTACTTTTTCAACATTGCTTAGTCAAATGAACTCATGTATTCAAAGAAACTTTGTATAAACAAGCTTATTTTAAAATGTACTTAAACTGAATAACAGACACATAGTATGTATAACATTGAAAATAACAACATGCATTGCCAAACAGCAATTAAAAGGCAAAAAATTCACTAACATGCATTTAAATAAAATTTCTTTTTTTTTTACATAAACAGACAACTTAAAAGACTTAAATCAGATTGGTATAGATATGAAAATCTAAAACTAAAAGTTCTATAAAGTTCTTACAGCATCTTGAAATATATACAAAGCCATATGCATCTGATGAACAGCTATTCCATCAAATTCAACTTCCTCCTTTAGATGACCTATGATAAAGCATATTTTTATTACAATAAAAAGGGGTTAAAAAAATTCAACAAATGTAATAACTAAAGTACCCAAATCCCAAATCCTGAGTACCCCTTCCCCAAATCCTGAGTGACGTTTCTCTATATGTTTATCATATTTTTTAAAAAGGAATTTTAAAATTCAGCTGCATATATTTTAATACAAATATATTGCAGATTTATGAATATACACTGTTTTCGAAAAGTTAAGGAACAGCATGTTTTTTTTTAGTCTAATTTGAAAACGAAACAACACAGAAACAAGAAATTTACAGAACATGTTTACTAAGCAGTTCTTTAATGAATGCAATATAGAATGTTTCTAAAGTTGAAGAAAAACATGAATTATAACAAAAAATTTCACTCTTGGCAGAGAAATCCAGTCTTGGAGAAACAGTATATCATAGTTTCTTGAGGAAAAATGGGGTGGGTACAATTACAAAAGGGGTTCACTCCTAGCTGCAATACATTGGCAGCAACCACATTCCATGCTATAAGTTGTCATTCAGTGAAATGGGAAGCAACAACCCGACACGGAGTAATCCTTGTTCAAGCTCATCTAACAACCTTGGAGGAGGATTTAAAGCAGCAACTTGTCTCCCAAGGTAGTTCCAAAGATGCTGTATCGGATTCAAGTCTGGGGATTGAGCTGGCCATTCAATCCGCTCCATAACATGACCCTCAAGATATTCTTCAGCAACCCGAGCTTGGTGTGGTCGCGCATTGTCGTCCATCAGAAGAAATCCACGACCAATAGCAGTGGCATATGGGCGAACATATTGATCAAGGATCTCGTCTCGATATCTCACACTGGTGAAAGTTCCTTCATGGAACACATGCAGGTCAATGTGACCATGGAGAGAGACCCCAGCCCAAACCATTATTCCAATGCCTCTGTAACTGTGTCTTTCCACAATGTGGGACTCACTGTATCTGGTGCATTGTTCCCTCCAGATCAGCTGATGACCTGAATCACTCTCCAATGTGAACCTGGACTCGTCTGTGAAGAGAACAGATGCCCATTGTTGACTGGTCTAAAAAATGTGTTCTCTTGCCCAACATAAATGAGCGCCTCTATGTGGTCCAACCAAGGGAACACAAATAACTGGTCGTCTTGCACACAGACCTGTATTGTGCAGGCGTCTACATACTGTAGTAGCTGAAATTCTTGTTCCTGTTGCCACTAAATTATCTGCCATGACCTGAGGCACAATAATGTTACTCCTCCTTCAGGCCAAAACAGCTAAATAATGGTCTCCCACAGGTGTTGTAACACTAAGTCTGCCTGGAACACATCTTCTAGACACAGAATCCTTGGATTCAAACTGATTTCATAGTAGGTGGGCCACACTACGAGAGACATTGAGATATCTAGCAGCATCAGCTTGTTGACATCCCCATTTCCATTCATCCAATCACCCGCCTCCTTAACGAATAGAGCAAATGACTTCTCTTGGATATTGTCAAGCAAACTCTAATAAAAACAGAAGATCAACACTCGTGAACAAAAGTTACAATTTTTGCATTTTTTCTCCAACTCCTATATAAGCATTTATTTCAATACAATAAAAGTAGTAGCTATTGTTTTTGTATAATTTTTTAAACTTCATTACTGTCATGCATATGAACTGTGAATGTAAATGTTACTGACATTTTTTAATGGTGAACTTTGAAAAACATGCTGTTCCTTAACTTTTGGAGGGCAGTGTATTTTATAATGTATTATTACACATACATTTTTAATAGAATTTAATTAATACAGTGTGAGCAAAAGCTCACCTTGTAGGTCATGATTAAAAAAGAACACTGACTTCATCTATTTTTATTACGCGGTGAAAGTATCTGCTGCAAAGCTCTTTCTCTATATGCACAGGCATGCCAGATTCTGCTCCTTAACCCATTTCAGACATGAAGTACAGAGCTTTCAGTCTGAAATGTGTTATCAATCATCAGATCACTTGAGACCATGTGATCAGATCATTTGGGACCACTACTATGCAAACTAGTTAGAGTTCCCATAAAGCAATCTTCATTTCATGCAGCCTATGGGTGTGATACAAATTCCTAGCTTGAGGAAATATTTGTGTGTGTGAATATTATTCCATCAGTGAAAACTTTCAGCAAAAGCACCACAGATATGTGCACAGTGTTCATATTTCTCCATCCCGTTAAAAGTGTATTCGTATATTTCATCTTTATTAACTAAACATTAGGAAGATAATGAATATTGTCATACTACGGTTTTGAGTTCAAGTTATAATTTTGTAATTAACTCTCAAACACATAGCACCAATTTTGCAGTGCCAGTTTCTGGCCCTCTATACGAGTTGAAACTTTAATAGTTACAACATTGCTGTATTTCTTCTTAGAATACACATTAGTCCAATACCTAATCTACCTCAAAGTAATACTCTCTTGCAACAATAAGTACAAGCGCTGTGACAAGAAGAACACAGCTTCTTGCGAGTTGAAGGTTTAATGACAGAGTTGTTTAAAGAGTAGAAACATCTGCAACAGACATTGCTCAAATCCACTTGAAGAATTTGTCGAGAAATCGTTAAGTCTCGACAAATTCTTCAAAATTCAAAAAGTTGGCGACATTTTGGTCCAGTCTCTGTATAACTTATTGTTATTAATAATGTACTTGAATAACTGTAACTTGTCTCTATATGTAATTGTAACAGCATTTAAACTACTGCACTTCATCTGAACTTATTTCCTTGAATTATTCTAACTTAATTAACTGATTTATTAAAGTACAAGTGTCTTTGAAAAAGAAAATTATTTAAATGCCTTCTACATTAACTTCTCTGTATTGGTAAATATTTGAAAATTCCTCTCTCTCTATCACTTCAGTGCTTTTTAAATTATTTATAAATACAATTACTGTTAAATTTTTTAACTCTCCAAGTTCTATTCCAACATTTGAGAATATATGCAGTGACTAGAGCAGAGCATGCATTATAGATCAAAATGTCGACAAAAGTTGGCGGTCCCAGTGTAACTAATTGTAATTAATACTGTACTTAAATAACTGTAACTGATCCCTACATGTCAGACATGGCCAAAGTGCGGCTCTCTCACACCTTAACTGTGGCTCGCGAGCTACTTGCGATTCTTTGCCATCTGAAATGTGACTGGGTTCGAATAAATATACTTTAATTTTTTAATGCAAATGGAATTTGGAATAGAAATCATGCAGTGCCATGTTTCTTTATTAATCATTAATTTAATTTCTGCTATAACATATGCAAAAATTTGATAGCTTTCAAACTGTCCACTGTTGGCTTATCGTCAGAGCAGCAAATTCGTAAAATTACAAAAAAATTTCATTTCTGATAATTACTATTCCGGTTACCTTACTTTTTGATCAGGTAATGGTCATTGGAATAAACATATGAAGTTAACCTAAAACTCAATGCTAATATTTTTATTTAATCATTCTCCCTAATATTTTTTCTCTCAAGTTAATTTTACTTCAAGTAGTATCTGGTCACATTTCTTTGTGATCCCATTGTCTACAATAATTGCGATACACCTGGAAGATTTGCTGTTCATCATAGACTACTACTTTCATTCAGTCCTTGAATGGCATGAGTAACTGCTGAAGAAACCTGTTTCACCTTGCAATTTATATAGAGCACTTTTAATCTATGGAAGAATTTTATGAGAATTTAATGTTTGGTAGAGTGAACCTTCAGCCTCTTATAGGGTTAGGAAACTTGTCTCAACTATCTGAGGAACTCCTTCCATATTAATTTCCCACCCTTAAGCAAGTCAGGCATTTTTATGTAATTACTTCACATATTTTGCAGCCATTCATGACAATATGCTTAATGAACACTTTTTCACATGACACTCTTTCATAATAATTCCTTGGAAATCCTAGGCAGAGATCATAATTTATTTCATTAGTAGTTGTGCATGCTGAAATATTTGGAGTTGTGTGAAGACTCACTGGTTTGACTAAGATTTAAATTTTAGTCAAAATGTTTACTTCCCATTTTATCAAATATTAGTAATTCAGATAGAAACCTTTCACCTTAATCATCAAATCTTCATACCAATAACGTTGCATCAAGCAACAAGGGATCAACAGCACACAATATTGGTGAAATCTCTTTAGCTTGTGATATTTTCTTGTATTTTTCTATGTTTGATGACCTTTTTTCTTTCTACCTCACATTAGGTTAGAGGCATTTTGCAGCCTGGCACATCTGAAAATTTTCACCCCTTAGTACTGTCGCTCTGCAGCTGCATTAGTTGCCCTGGCTTACACTTTTTTTAATCTGCTGAAATTTTTTGTCTTCCTAATTTTCAATCATCATGTACATCTGACACATCCTTCATGAAAGCTTAGCAATCAAACGAAAAGTTGTACAATGATCCACTGCTTGATCACTACAAATTTCTGGCAATGTGAAATTTTGCTCCCGTAAACGTTTATTTTTAAAGTCTGATCTTTCATTTTATAACGTATGCTCTGCCTACAGACTCGATTTCAAACCCCATTCGAGACTGATTTTTTCTTACACAGGTTAGGTAAACCCAATGGTAAGTTGTACTATGTAACAGATAGGCTGACAATAATTTATTTTAAACTTTCTTCCGAGTTATTTTACTTAGAAATTCAAGATGGACTGTAAGCCATTTGACCGCCTTTATGGATTCAGCATGCACAGATGTCTGCTGTGTTACAAAAGGCCTTCACATCCAGCTTCTATGCATGTCTAAGAAATATGAAGAGCTACTCATTCATGTTATACGTGCATTTGCGAAATAAATTTATCATAACACTAGTTTCGATTCACCATACATTGGAAAAACAGCTGAGAATTAAACTGACCGATTGAAGAGATCAGCTGGTAGACAGATGGAATGTGTGCTCAAAGAAGTGTTTATACAGCCTGACATGAACTACTAGATTTATGAGCAATAGGTTATGTATGTCTAGAATTATCTTAATGACTGAAGGAGTGGTTTCAAAAATTTTCTACGATGCGCATGAACTTCGTTATCTATGTCCAAAATTATCAGTATAAAACGAGAAAAATTACATAAACATGAGAAAACTTATTTTTTATTTTTTAGTTGAGTTGACTTTAGAATACCGAGAGATCTCTGTGCGAGTTTTGCTCTTTAGATGAGCTTTGCATTGCAATGTGTTTAACATTCTTAGTAGTCCGAAGTGGTAACTACTGACTGTGCTTCTGCTGTATTGAGAAGATATGCACAAGTACTTTTTATAGAAAATGCCAGAACTGTAAAGTGTTTCTTTTCGGAAAATAAATTTTATCAAGCTATCTTTGGTAGTGTGTGCATTTAATCCATTACAAACTGTACCCAAGTAACAGTATGCATATCTGAAACTACACATAGATTTTATAAAAATGCATGCATAAATGCAGTAGTAAATTTAGTAAGGATGCATTTATGCAGTTTCTTTAAATACATAATACACAGTAAAAAGCACAGGAGATTTATCTGAATTTTTGTCAAAATTATACATATATGCAAAGTAAAAAAAAAAAAAAAAAAAAAAAAAAAAAATAAGGAAGATTTATATAAATTCTTACTTAAAATGTATGTATATACAAAGTAAACAATTCAGGATATTCACTTATATATAATAAACATATATAAACTTTCACCAGAAATATACATATATTATCTGTAAAGGTATGAAGAAAGCACAATCATTCATATGAATACATTTAAATTTAGAAATATTATAACATAAAAAATAAGTAAATAGCTACTACTTTTTTTTGGACACATTTTATGATATTTTTACATTCAGGTTTTTGTGTTTTTTTTATACAAAGAGCTTTTTGCAACTTCTACATACTTTTGCATGCAATTTATGAATGCATACTGCTATTAGAAACATTTCGTTATTATAGTTCAACTGTCTCATGGCATTCTGCCAAAACACATAGACTAGCCCAAAAGGTGTATTATTACTTGCTGCGACGTGAAAGTGTTCTCTTTTCCGGAATGAGAGAATGGAGGAAAAGAAAAATCCCCGTTCTTTGAGAATAATTAGGTCCGAATGGCGCATGCGTGTTTGCACTCATGGTCCCAGATAAGGCGGTTAAACTATAAATAAAATTTCAAGTCTAAAATTATTATTTATAAAATTTATGGTCTAAATTACTTTGCGATTTTGCATGTATTAATACTTGTAAATTAGAGGGAAAATATAAGATTTGTTGACCAAAACCATATCTAAAAATACGTTAAATTACCTTACTGCTAACGTTAATTTTGCATTCTGAAATATCAAATGTAGCTACTAATAAAGTACATATTTTATTAGTAATAGAATAATTTTATTGGCCCATCCAGAAAGTTCTGTGGTTTTCCATATAACAGCATGTTCTCTTCTTATTTTGCTATTACTGATAACCAGTGATCTTGAGTGAAGCAGATGTTTAAATATGGCCTTTTCTCGTCAAGTTGTGTAGAGCATGTGCTGTGACATATTTTTTTTTTCAGTGCAGTGATAAGAATGGAGAACTCAAAAGTTCAGTTTGTTATATTATTAAAAAAAAAAAAAAAAAAAAATACTAGTCAGACTGCCTGTAAAATTTGTGCTATATATGATGCTGTTTCTAATAACACATTCTGAATGTGGTCTGAGATATTTAAGTGTGCAAATTTCAGAATCATAGATGAAAGGGCCTACTAAAAGAGGATATCTCTGAAAATCCATGTTATACAGTTCAAGAAGTATCAAACAGACTAAATATTCCAAAAAGAGCACTACATGATCATTAAAGATTAAGTATGTAAACCACTAGGATGCACGAGTACTCGTTCTTTAACACAGCAGAATACACTTGCTCAAATTTCAGCATGTGATTCTTTGCTGAAAAGAAATAAAGAAGATTCTTTCTCGAAATGTTCCATTACAGGAGATGAGAAGGGAATACTGTTTAATAATATTACAAGATTAAGATCACAGGGTAAGCCAAATGAACCTCTTTTAGTAACATTAAGAGGGGCTTGCATCCCAAAAAAGTAATGCTTTATATATGGTAGGACAGCATTAAGAACTGCATACTATAAACTGTTGCCACCAAATAAGATAATAAATTCAGAAAAACATTGCAAGCCCAGCCCGAGAAATTCAAGCAAAGTCCTAACAACTGATCAGTCCTTGAGGTGTCTTTCATCATGATAATGCTTGGTCCCACATTTTGAAAAATGTCAGACAAATTTATTGAGTATAGATCAGATGTTTTTGTGACCCCATATATTAATCCCACCTTGTTCCCTCAGTTTTCATCTTTTTCATGTCACTTCAAAATTATTTGATTAATGAAGTTCACGCCTTTGGAGGCTGTCAAACAGCACATTGGTAACTTCTTTACAAATAAATCTAATGGCATTTTAGAAAAGAAATTTTTAAGCTGCTGGAGAGATGGGAAAAAGTCACAAAACAAAATGATGCTTATGTGAATCAGTATTTTGTTATGTTTTTGTACTGCATCATCAGTATTTATCATTAAAAACCAGCAGAACTTCCCAGATGACCCAACATTTCTAATTTAATTAAAGTGCGACATATATCCAAATATATATTATAAAATAAACTCAAAGGAAGTGAAGTTTCCCATACCCTGGTTGAGTTTATCACAAGGCTCCCTTAAATAATTCTGCTACCATTTGATGAATATTAATTTTGCATGTTGTTTTCATTGCATATTATTATGTTTGCAGAAAGCTAATATAGTGTGTAATGTAGATAAAGTTCATGCTGAGTAAAATAAATTATTTGTCATGTGTTATGCTTAATTTTCAGAATGCACTAACAGTTTTTTAAAACAGATGTAATTTTAACCATCATGCATAAAATAATACAGACAAAAATGAAAATACAGCATTATGATTGTAATAAAAAAATTTCTTCTCCACATACACAATGTTTTTTTTTTTTTTTTTTTTTAGAATTCAGTTTTGATCAGTGGTTTTAGTTAGAATGCTTTTATGAATTATCTTATACATCATAGTAACTCTAGAACTTAATTCATGAAACAAGACCATATTTTCATTGTTAATAAAGGAAAATAAATGCAGCAAACATAAGTTGTTACCCGTACTAGTGAAAATATATTTACAATGAAAAGCTTTGATGTGAAATAGCAAATCACATCATTTCAACTGTTTTTTTATACACAGTATAGTTACTTTGATGCTGGATAATTAGTCACACACTTTTCAAAAAAGAAAGTACTAGAATATAAAACACAGTTTCTTGGAGCAACTCATTACAGAAGCAAGTTCATTAAGAAGTATGAAGTTAGTTCTTTACAGCATGCAACAAAACACTAGAATACAAGTACTGGAAAATAATGTATTGTAGACTAGATTAAGAGACTGTTTTGTAGATTTTAAAATTATAGATCAAACTTTAAACATAAAATGTAATTTTAGAAAAAACCACATATTGCATGTAAAACATTTAAAGTAAACCTAAAAAGCTAACGATAAATACTCACTAATAGCTAACTGAACAGGTTGCTTGTTTTGCTCGGGAATATACTCTCGCAAGCCTTCAAGTAAATCTCTCAAATGTTGCTAGGTATATAAAGCAAACACATTAGGCATCTATTATTAACTTCACCATCTATCACTTTACTCAAATAATAACAAAGCAATGAAACAAAATACTAAAAAAGTCAAAAAAATCATAAAAATGTATAAATCAAGTTCCCAGTAATAGTTCCAGTTTTGTAAAAATTAAATTTAACACTTGGCATTAGGACAATATGAAGAGCAATATTTAAGTTTATAAAACATGTGAACCATTTCAGAAGTAGAGAAGTATTTGAAAGAAAATGATTAAGCTATCATCCATAAGATATAAGCTTAATAGACATGATTTTGTGAAAACTATATATATTTAATTATTAAATAAAAAGCTTTCTGAGAAAATTATTGATATGGTTTTAATGAAAAATATTTTCTACCTTAAATATCAAGTTTGGCATCTTCAAAACTAAGATAACAGAATGCTTTTCATTTAGAAATTTATTAACTACTACAATTGTATTGCTGTTTTCTAAAACTGGTGGCTCATGAGCCCTAAAGCAATTTTACGCAGTCCACAAACATACTTTAGCTATGTATTTGTTGTAAATACACTGCCAAATGTGTGCAGATGGATAAGATATTGAAACAATAACTAAAGCTACGGAATTTATCAATGGGCAAACTCTGAATCATCGAATTTGCTGCACTGCTTTAAGAAACTCAAAGTGAGTGCAGAAAAATTATGTTGTGTAATGAATTATGCAGAGCGGCTCTATTAAAACAGTTCACAATTTAATAAATCAAAATTTTCATGTCACAAAATTAATATATAAATAAAAGCATCATGACATATGAAGCAGAGATTTAGCATTTAACTAGACATTCAAATATTCTTAATAAAGAGCTGCAAGGAAAGCAGAAACTTATTGACATAAATGCTTGTATTAAAACATTCAAAGTTAAACTAATAGGGGTATTGAAATGCAGATGGCACAGTCCCCCAGGAAGCAAAAAATTTCCTCCAGAACTCGATTAAATACAGTGTAAATAAAAATTAATCATTGCCAGTGATTCAAATTCTGTTAAATAATGTGTCAGCAGATGAATAGTGGGGTATAGAGGCACAAAGGAGTTTTCGTAGCAGAACATTTTGTTCAAACAAGTTTAAACGACACAGAATATTTGCTATTGAAGAAATGAGAGTTACTGCTGCCCATGGCAAACAGTATGAATGCACAAGAAAAGTCTTATCACATGAACAGCTGAAAAATGAGAAGCAGTCGTTTTCTTTGTTGCATAAAATCTACAAATGCAGGTGACTTGAGGAATGGATTTTTTAAAAGAAGCAGGGGTGAAAAATTAAATTTCAGGAAGCTATGGATCATTTGGACAAGAATAAACTGGAAGGAAAAGAAATGCAGCATCCAGCCTTAGACTTAAAAAAAAAAAAAAAAAAAAAAAAAAAAAAAAAAAAAAAAAAAAACTAGACAAACTTCTGAAACTGGAATAGTTGGTAAGAAAAATTTCAGATCTCTTTGATGAGGTCCCAGGGCCTCAAGAGGTAAGCCACAGCACTGACAGAAAATTGTCCCCCCCCCTGCCAAGGAAAGCTCTACTGCTATGATAAAGAAGAGATCACTGTAAGCTAATTTTAAGATAAATGTTAAAAAAAAAATTATAATTCCCATAAGTAGCCCTTACACTAGGTTGGTAGTACTATGCCAAAAGAAAAATAATCTCCAACCTATGGATTTAAAAAAAACATGACATTTTGCAACAATTATTGAAAGTTAAAGAGTATAAAAAATATCCAGTCTATCTATTGACAATAATTAAAGAAATTATCCAAAAAATTAAATCCACAAAATACATGATTACCCTAGATCTTACACTTGAATACTTTCAGGTATGTGTGAAACTGCAGGATCTGCCCAAAACCACAATATTACCAAATCAGGAGTTTATACCTTCTTGAGAATGCCGTTTAAAGCTTACACGGAGCACTCACCACATTTCAAAGTGTAATGGATACTATACAAAGATTTGTCCTCAGAAAATCAATAACTTCACTTAAGTGACTTAAGTGATATAACTGCTACAAGCGAGACTATAGATGAACATATTTGGAATTTAAATGAACAGTTTTCCCTTCTAAAAGAAGCAGGGTTAAAAATTAATGCAGCAAAAGAACTTCATTACTTGGGCTATTAGATAACTCAGAAGGGAATCAAGACTAAAAACTGCACAATTATTGCAATAAAAAATTATTTTTAACCAAATACAGCAAAAAGTTTGTCTCATGTCGGGGGTTGTGCTCCTATCATAGGACTTTTATCACAAATTTTCCCCATATAGCAGAATCATTATTAAACTTTAAAAGAAAGCCAGCTTTACCTGGTTGGTCAAAGCAAACACAGCATTTTAAAGTTTGAAAACGGCTTTAATTCAAGTCTTAAAATTCCTTGATGCAAATTGAAAATAAGAAATCTCTGCAGATGAATTAGATTTCAAGGTAGTAGTCTTGCTTATGCAAGATGGACAGCCAGTTGAATATTAAGATATTTCATCCACCTCAAAGAAAGTATATCGCTACAGAAAGGAAAACATTAGCAGTTCTTTGGCAGTTCAGAAATTCTGAGTATATTTAGGGAAATCAGCCATAAATGTTTATACAGATCATGTGGGCACATTTCGTTTGTATTCTGAGAAGAATTTATCACCAAGACTCATAAAATAGGCTCTTACATCTCAAGAATAATTACACATTACACAGAATACAACATAATAATTACACATTCTCCTGGGAGGAAAATGTAGCAGCATATATTCTATCAAGATTAAAATTAGATGATGAGGGGCATAAAGTCAAATGTGCAACATTAACTTTTGGATTCTTGCAAAAGAGACCCAGAGACCTGCAGAGTTACAAACAGGCTCAGAACTTATAAAGATTTATACATATTTAAATGATCCCAATCATTTTGAACACCAGCCTACGACAGCTATTGTTGCACATTGAGATTATTGAGAATTTTTCCTTATACTCCAAAGTTATGAATAATAACAACAAATTAAGACAAGTTATCCCAGCAAGTTCAAGACTTAATATTTTACAGGAATTGCTTGATGCACCAACTTAGAGCCATCTCATGTTAAGAAAAGCAGTTTATAGAGTTCGAGAAGCTGTTTATTTTCAACAGCGATGAAAATTTGTTATTCAGTATCTCAGGTCTTGCAACATTGGCCAGTTAGTTAATGATATTATTATAGCTCAAATGGGTACTTAAATAGCAAAAAAGCTACTTTTCCTGATGAATTAACAGGAATAGATCTCCTAAGACATTAACAGGAATTGACCTTCCACTGCCATGGGACTACAGTTGTACAATATCTTCTGGCAGATTTTGACAACGAAATTTGTTATTTACAAGTGACAGGCTAATGGGTACGCATTATGTAAAATTAGTAACACAGATCAAACCCCATTTACCGGGACATACCTATGTCTATAGTTCCACCAACAGGCTCACAAAGTAAGAATAAATACTGCAGGTGGTAAGAAGTAGCTGTGCATGATTATGCTGGCTGTTCTGGCAGATGGAAGAGCACTGCCACCATACATTGTGTTAAAGCAAATGACTGTACCCAAAGACGTACAGTCAGGTATTGTCCTGTGTGTAAAGGAGAAGGGCTGAATGAAAAAGAACCTCATATTGGAGTGGCTAGAAACTGTTTGGAATAGAAAATCCGGTGGTTTGCTGAAACCTAACAGCTTGTCAGTTCGTGAAAGCTTCTGATGTCACTTAAGTTTTCAAGAAAAGGGAAAATTAAATGAGTTTAAAACAGATGTAAGTGTCCTTCCTGGAAGCTTAACTTCCATCGTCCAGCCCTTAATGTTACTGTTAATCCCTCCTTTAAAAGTTCATTCCAGATACTTCATAATAATTGGATGAATGGAGGAAACCATGACATTACAATAAAAGGAAACAAAAACAACCGTCTATGTGTGTAGTGTGTGTATGAATGGATTCTGGCAGCCTGGAAAAGCATCAAGCCTGAAAACAATCATTAAAGGACTTTTGATACGTGGAATCTCCAATGCTCTAGATGTATGCTGTGGGATACTGGTACCAGTGACAGTAATACAGGTAGTATAGGTAACTTCCCTAATACTCTAGCAGTACTGATAGTGGCAGTGAATAAGATGTACTAAACACAGAAACATGTTTCTTTTGACCAATAATACAAATTTTGCCACATTGTGTGATGTGTGCGGTATGAATACTATGTGCAGTTTTCATTTTAGGTGCTTTCGCAACCCCAAAACAACTAAAAAACAATTGTAAATAGTAGACAAGTTATGCACGACTGAGCCTGGGGGAATTTTTATTTTTTCAAAATTATACATAAAAATTAAGGATTTAGCTTATATATGTGAGAATAAGGTATGTGAAAAAGCATCTGTATTGGTCAGATAAACTAAGTAGCTTTAAGAAATTAGATCATAATTAAGAACACATAGGATTATTTGAAACAAAGTACTACTAAGTGCCTGAACTGAGCTCTAAAAGGCTGAAGAAAGTTGTGAGTAATGTCTGTGAAGGAACAGATATTACTGGATCATTCAACATTACTAAATGTAAGTTTCACTAGAAAGTTTGTTATGCTGCATATGGGGCAGTAAGTTCATACTCACAGCATGTATGTTCCCTCTTTTGAACAATTTTTCCAATGTATCTAGGCTCTTCTTTAATGTTTTCTCCATATTGTAATAATAAGGTAGGAAAACCCCTGCATGCTTGTTACATGACATACACTTCTGAAACTACCAACATTCCTTTTCCTTTGTTCTAAAGCTGGTGCAGGATATTTTTACGGACACATATTAAATGCTAATTCAACTAATTATTAGCTAAGCTTCATTAATCTAAAAAATATTAAAATTTACCATAGTCAATACTAATCCAGGTGTTTTCTGAACTAAATCTTCCATCCATATTTCACAGATCTATGTAAAAAAGAAGGAGGGTTAAGACTGAAAAAAATCTTTTGCCATATACACAGGAACAACATAAAAATTCAATTATGTCGTCTCAGATAAATGTACAAACCCTTGTATTTTCACCTATTTCCTTACATTAAAGAGAGAAAAAAAAATTGTTTAAAAGAAATACAAAAGAATAAAAAGATATTTTATCAAAAGTCTGTAACCAGCATATGTAAATGATCTACATATATGTTTAGACAAATGTCATGTTAATTTATCCACTTGAAATTATTAAATTAACTAAAATTCATTTAGTGCGAAAACAAGTTACTACTACTTGTGCAATTGCTGCAAAGTTAGTTAATAATAATTTATTTCCTAAACAATATTGATTAATTGATTATATTATCTCTTAAGTTTAATTAAAGTAGAATTATTTTAAAAGAGTGAATCCATACTGGTAAGTTATATTTTGAAAGATGTTTTGAAGCAACTTGAAAGTAAAATGTTAATAATGTTTAAACGGGGACTGGAGTTTAAATCATCATGAAGAATAAATTTCAATTGTAAAAGGAAAAACTAAATTAAAACATGTAATCATTGTCATTGATCGGAAATTAGTTGACTTTTCAAGGGGAACAAACCAACTCCCGTTCAATGAACAATAATTGATAAAAATACGTAAATACGAAGGTGTTTCGTCTTTACTCGAGTTATAAGTTAAAAGCCAAACCGGCAATTCTAGTCAAGGCCAAATATTTCCGCGAATAGAAGGGATTATGATCCAATGCTGATACTCAAAGAACTTATTCTTATGAAGCATTTTAGTCAATTCAATTTGGAGTAAAAAGCAATTTCTGTAGAGAAATCCGAAAAAATCCCGAGTAACCGTCCCCGACACCCTCATGTTTATGCATTTGAGTTCTATATTATTTGTAAAAATTAAACATTGGAAATTGTCATTATGAAATAGAATTCAAAGTAAAGTTGAAAATAAACATAGAAGATTACAAAATAAGATAAATAATGCAAACTTTGTAAAAACAAATCAAAGAATAAAGTAATATAAAATAATATAAAAATATATAATAAGAACAGTGAATGTACATGAAGATATAAAGGCCAGAAAAGGTATTAAGTAACTTACATTCTTTCTAGTAGGGAGTTGGCAAAGTGTTCTCTTCATGTCTGACTCATAAGTGTAGGGTGTCCGAAAATTCTTAGCAGCAGTGGGGGCTTTGAATAATATCAGTCGGTAAGACTTGGGTGAAGTAATTTATGGTAGTGGGTGGGACTCGGAATTCTTGAGGGATGTATTATGTGGGGTTCTTATTTGAGTGAAACTGTCTGTTAAGAATTTTTTGAAAATACTAGTGAATGGAAATTAATTAATTTCTGGCTAATTGTCGTGTCACAATGATTAAGAATTTAAGAAAGGAAAAAAGGAATTTTCACTGTCCAAGAGCTATTAGACAGACTAAAGTCATGAAATAGGCCCATTTTTTTAGTAACAGCAGAGTAACAGCATAAGTCTGAAGACAATTAGCTTTTTACAATATATACAACTGAGTAATTACACTATATACAAATCCTTCAACTGATAGTCATCCAACTTATACCGCCTTCTCAGGTTTAGAAACAAATTATCATATCCCTATCAGTTAAATGATTTAGAGTGAGTATTTAACGCCTGCTCTTTTAAGGCAATGGTTAATAAATTGAATGGGTATTATATTATTTTTGAGAATTTTAATAAGGAGCAAAATTTCACATTGTAAATCTATTGTATCTGTGCATATAATTTTAATTTTAATTCGTTGTATTTGATTAATTATAGTATTGTTAATTACTTTTTTGGATATGTTGGAGTTCCAATTTATTAATTTGTTAGTATTGAAATTGAAGTTTCTTGTTTTGTCAAAAAGTAAAATTTTTTTGTAGTTAATGATTTGAAGATCTAGAAAGTCTATGCTATTTTGTGAATTATTAGTTTTATTAAGTGTAAGACAATTTGGATAAATCTCGAAGTGTTCAATTTTTCCAAAATTATTAATTGTAATAAGGTCATCAATATATATCTGTAGGTGTGTTTGTAGTGATTTAACTCTTGTGGTTGTAGATTTTTTTGGAAGTTAAATTCTTTGATAAATAAAAACATATTACAGATCGAGGAGCTGGAATGTAAGCCCATTGGCAATCCTCTGACTTGTTTAAAAAGTTGATTTTGAAACTTGATGTAGTTATGAAAAAGTGTGCATTTTTTTCATAATATCACATTAATAGAAATAAATTAATCAGGAAAAATACTAAAATCATTACTATACATACAAAAATAAATACTATAAACCTGAAAAAAAATTTAGAAATACGAAATATAAAAAAAAACTAGACAAGAATTACCTGTAGGTAATTAAATTCCAATTTAAAAATTCTGCTGTGTGTGAAATAATTTAAAACAAGGATCGACACACAGTCCTACATTGCATATTTTGCCCTAAAAATACGTTGCTTTCGTTTTCCTTGGTTTTTGTGCACACAATGCATCTTCTCCTACCTTTATTACCTTTTTTGTCAATGTAAATTTTCAAAAAATGTCTTCCAGTTAGACAGAAAGGTGGAGTGTCTGGAGATTTTTTTAAGTAAGGTCTCTTAGCCATGGCTAAATGAATTAAACTGAACAGAACCCCAACACACGTCCCAAAACTTCTTCAAAAGACACCCAGAAGTATTTCATCCTCAAATCCTGTGTAACATCAGGTTTATATTAGAAAACCTCCTGTTTTTCTAAACTGAAAAAGTGTCCACCAGAATGACCGGAAAGTGATCAAGGAAAGACCCCTCGTTGGCGGGATATCCATTACTGATCATGTCAATACATACATTTACATTATATGTAAAGTAAATACATAATGCCTGGGTGATTATATATAACGACAATTCAAGGCATTATACATAATGACCCATTAAATCGAGTAAGAAAAACCAAAATGCTGGCTCTTTCCTGTGAAATGTGAATGAGTAAGACGTATTACGTGACGAGAAAGCTGATGGACTTTCCCCTTCCGCAATAATGCTGTAATGTCACTTTTTGATGAACCAAGAAAGCTTATGTTAAATTTCAAAATAAATGGAAAAAAGTACAACTGGTCTGGAGTTTTTCCATCACGGATGTTCGGCGATGTTACACCTGCTATAGTCAGCTCAATGCACTTTCCTAACGGAAAAAAAAAAGGGGGGGGGGAAATAACATAAATGAAAACAAGGAGCTGGCTGTGCTTACCTACATTCTAATAACAAAAAAGGCAAAGAACAAAATGAAAAAAAAAATTCCTAACGAAATAAACAAAAACGCCCATGCCTCTTTAATTCACAGGCGCACTTATAAAGAACCGTGATTCCCAGTTTGTTTATACCAATAAATCTATCAAAAGCAGAAGCACAAAACAGAAACTAATGCCAGTACATGATGATCAAATGCCATATAAATCAACCCATGTGAAAACAGTTACCATTTATCTCCATCTACTGGCTTTTAAAAATTCAAAAAAATCGTTCTGTTTTAAAGTTACGTATACATGATGCTGGGTTGGTAGGATTAGAATTGTTGTGTCACGTATACAGAATGCTGGGCTGGTAGGAGTGGAATCATTGCATCGCGTATACAGGACACTGGTCCTGAACGGGTTAATGGAGTAATAACCAAAATGTGTGTGCAAGCATGTTAGTGATCAAGGTGCAAGGTTGGTAATACACTTTGACTTTTTAACTTTCTGATCCAGACACAATTTTGATTCAAGATTTTTGTTCATTATAATTTTTTTATGAAACAACTAAGACAGATTCAGGTACTTTGAAGAAAAATAATTTCAGCATAAATGGAAGAACAAGCAGAATTTAAATGCATACTGACTTTAGTGAATTTAACCAAAGCTATTAAAAATCTTTATCTGTTGATACATAAATTTAAAACATACACTACCTGTTCAGCATTCTCTGACAAAATTTTTACTATAATAGCTCTTCTTTGGGAATCTTTCTTCAGTAAATAAAAATTGCCCTGTTCCTGCTCAATTTGAGGGCTATCTATTGGAGGACTCAATAGACCTGTGCTGGATCGCCTTGAATCTGATGAATCTGTACTAAAAAATAACATATATTGAAAGATTGATATTTATACAACTTCAAATTATTAATTTTGATAGTAATTATGTCTGTATGCATACAGTGTCTAAGGGAAGGAATGTTGTGAGTGTTTGTGTGGCGTGCATTCAGTAAAGATGGGCAAGGATTTTATTTATTCATTTTTCCCCTTTTTATAATATTGATCTTGAATTATAAATAAGTTATGCAGTTCTTAGATATCAAGTTAGAAATTTCTTGCATGAAAAGAACCTTAATATTGCTGGTGAAGGAAAGTTTTCATATAATCTCAATAGACTGTATATTTCAATGAGTAAAATATTAATAAAGTTTTGCAAATGGAAAAATCACAAAAATAGCGATAACACGTTAAAAAATAAGCCAATCTACATAAATTTGAATATATTGTCAAATAAGAATTGCTGAGTAAAACTGCAGCATGAAGATTAGTGGCACACAACCAAAAATGCCATCTGTGAGGAGCATAAAATTGCATGTTTCAGAGCAAGCCAGGAAATTTTGCTGTCAAATGAGATATTCAGATAAGAAATCTGGGACAGCCAATTTGTAACGATGACCTCCAGGCATCATTTGCCAGAACTGCGATGGAGGACTATTGTGAGACTAGAAGCAGGACAACGTCAGACCAAAGTGGCCAGATGGCTAAATGTGAGTCCTTCTGTGGTTCATAGACTTTAACAACAATTTCTAACCACAGATTTGACATCCAGGAGGTTCAGCCAAGGACAGCCAACCACTAAAACGAGTGCTGATGATTGATATTTGTTGTTATGTGCACAAAGGAACAGAACCTCAACTCCGACTCAACTCAGATCCTCCCTTGCCGCAGCCACTGGAAGGTTGGTATCAATGTCAAATATACACAGAAGGCTTCACAAAGGAAGTTTGTACATGAGGCTACCAGTCATCTGTGTGATGCTCCCATCATGTCATAGAAGGTAAATATTTGAGCTGGGCAAGTGAACATGTCCACTGGACAGCTGATGAATGGAGGACTGTTCTCTTTACGGATGAGTCCCAGTCTACCCTCCAAAGCAACACTAGACATTGTGATTTGGAGAGAAACTGGAACCTGTTATCATCCATCAAACATCCATTAAAGAGATCATATGGAGGAGGCAGTGTATGTGTTTGAGGTGGTATTTCTTTGGGTGGACACACAGAACTCCATGTTTTCCACATGGAACAATGAATGCTCAAGCATATAGATACGGGATCCTTGATACTTATGCATGCCCTTATGTCGGGGCAATAGGTGATTATTTCCTGCTACAGGATGACAATGCTGAACAGCACAGGGTAAGTAATGTGGATGATTATCTTCAGGAGCAAACAATTCAGTGCATTGAATGGCTAGCTTGATCACCAGACCTGAATCATATCGAGCATGTTTTGGATGCCAGACCTGAATCCTATTGAGCATGTTTGGGATGCCAGACCTGAATCCTATCGAGCATGTTTGGGATGCTTTGAGAATATGTATAGCTGCTCTCAATCCTCCTCTTCAGACCCTTGCCACACTTTCAACTGCTTTGGAAGAGCAATGGCATTCATTTCCTATCGAACTGATAGACCGCATAACTGACAGCATCACATGTTGCTGTATGTGTTACATGCCTGGGAAGTACTTGTTAGGATCTGTACCTAGGCAGTCTCAACCACAGGGGGTATATAATTTGACTTCACAGGACTAGAGCCCAAGTATTGTACTCAAGTTGGTTCAGGCTTGGCACGGACCGTACTGGTACTGTCGTGTCTGTTCCTTTGGCTGCTGTGGAGCTATATGGAGGATTTGTTGACTGAGTTCCTGGGGGTTTGACCCCATTCAGTCCTCACGGTGGGGACTGACAAAGTGGACAGAGCACCTATCTACAATGTGGTTAGGCTGATGGAGTGGTGCCCGGAGGCAAGGTGCCAGAGATTTTTAATACCAATGCTTCGTAAAAGCCGGGCAAGGACTGCGGAAGTTTCGCCCGCGAGAACGAAGTTCCATGGACGCTGGTTATCCAAACTCTGAATGGGTCCCATATAATGAAGACCTGGGACAGAGGTCCTTTCGTCTGGTGTGTCTGTATGTGTTACATTGCTTCTAAGGGAGATCATTCTCGATACTGAAGGTAATTTTCCTATACTAAACTGACACATCCAATTTGTTGAATTCATACATATGCTAATTGTCTGGTAATTTCTTTTCATGTTATTTTATATCATACTATATATTGTATACTGCAAGTCAGATTCATTAAATTTTACATATAACTTTCTCAGCAATCATCATTCTTCCTTAATTAATAATAACTAGTGTAGTTGAGAACAATCCATACCTTTATGAGCGAAATTCAGAGATATATGCTTAACCCATTAACCACTAAAACTACAAGGAATGATGTTTCTTTTCTCATGAAAATAATAACAAATATTAAATTAAGCATTTATAACATAAATTTACATTGAAAATAAAAAAAATGCTCTTACCTGTGGAAAAAGCGAGTGTTGCGTTTGCGCAACGTCAGCGGAATAAGACTACGGATGTTAGTGAGTAGGATTGTACTCGTGTGATGTTTCTTTTGAGTGGAGCGCAGGATTACTTTTTTAGCTGTATAACGTTTTATAAATCTACAAATCACTTTACTTGTAATTAATTTAATATTAAAATATACATTGTATTTCTTTTACAAATACAGATTATTTCAATGGAAAGATTCAAGCATGAAAAGCTTGATTACAATCATGATGTAAAGCTACATTACATACTTTGCATCTATAAACAGTCTGGCTATGGTACTCTTTACAACAAAGTCTTTTGTTATCAACGGACTTTACGATAAAATGTCTACCATCTCCATGCAATGGTTTTTGAATGCTGAATTTACTAGGTCTTCCTGTTGCTGATCTATTTCTGGCTAATTCTACACTCTCAATAGGAGTTTGCAAAAGGAATAATGCCTTCTCGTGTCTGAAATCTAAAAGAGACTTTATATTTAAAGTAGTAAAAAGTGGTGATATTTAGTAAGTTTAGATACGGTCTCACCTCATATAATTTATCAGTATTGGCAATCTGAATATTGTAAAACGCAAATTCTGCTTCATATTCCTGTACTGCAAACGTTATATCGATTCTCATACAACAGATGTCCCTATCAAAATCATTATTTAAAACATTGCCATTCCTTTCTTCTTCTTCACTAGCTTCTGCAATTTCTGGAGGAACAGCAATAATATCAGTTTCATTCTGGTCATTATTAACATTATCATCATCTGTTTCTTCATCAAAAAAACTTTGAAGGGCTTCTTCTAATGTAAAATACTTCATTTTTAGGCATTTTTAAACAACCAGAACATCGAAAGGAATGAGTGAAAAAGGAGATTGACTACCCAATTCCTGCTGATGTTGCGTCAGCACAACACCTGTTTTCCCTTCGATCCCAACACAAATATAAACATCTGACTGATGTAATGTTCTGATAAACGGTGACCTTGACAAAAAATAGATCACTCATAAAGACGGCGATTCTTTCGTTAAATATTTTCAGCAAAAATACCCCGGTCGAAAATTTTGATTAAAGTATGAGATTAATTATTATAAACAAAATGATTGTTGAAGGCAAATATTTTTTTACACATATAATCTTCATAATATTTCCTACACAAAATCATCTGCTGGTATAAAATATCTTAGGTAGTTATATTTATATACGCATTTATTTTGACCGTTGCTTCAACGCAACACCAGCGGCTAATGGGTTAACAAAACTTTTAACCAAAATTAAAGGGGACAGCTACAAATTTAGAAATGAAAGTCGTCTTACTTTGGACAGTATAAAAGAAGTCATGCATTGCATTGGTAATAAAAAACTTAAATAATGTCATAAATTTCTTTTTGAATATTTCTGAATTTTCCACATAAAGGTAAGAGCATTTCATTCTTAACAAAGTAAAGGATAATGAAAGTGTTTCTATTCAAATTTATATTCTACAGGTATTATACAAACAACTAAAGTTTAATTTTATAAAATCCTTTCCTCTTACAATACAATACTGTCAGTTTTCATAAAATTTTCAATCTTCTTTTAAGAATACTTGTAACAAGGAATATGTGTCTAAGAGCAAAATCTAAAGAAATAAAATCCCTACACTCCCACATATAATCATCTTCACTTAGGAATGATGTAATAAGAGCATAGCAATTACAAGCATGTTAAAAATTTAACAATTTCTTTACACAATACTGTTAATTTTATGATCTAAATGAAAAATATAAAGGCTTGGTTTTAGAAAAGATAAATAATTTTCTGTTCACTATCTTTCACCTTTAAATAGTATACTTGCTCCCAATTAAACCTAATGGAAACCCAGGATATATTTACAATTAAATATTAATTTAACATAGCAGCTGTCTGGCATGCCCTTTTTGCTTCATTATGATAATTTCTTTAAATGTATCATTTTATAATTTCTGTAAATAGCACTTTATGTATTGAATTCACATACATCATATTTAGTGCTAGTCTTAAAAAAAAAAAAAAAAAACCCGCAGTATCAATCTATACATAAAACATAATTTATTTTCCCAATATATTAAAATCTTCAGGATTTTACCAGCATGACATATATCAGACTTTGCTTTTCAGCAGCACAACAACAGGAATTGGAAACCATTACTATATTAATTGCACTACACTTGGCCACTGTTAACATATAATAACTAACCCAAAAATGGTTTCCAGTTCTGTACGAAAGTACTTTTCTTCTTCAAGCATTATAACCAGCGAAATTAAGAATGATAAGTACCGTAATTTCCAGAAGAAAGGCCGCATCAGCGTAAATGCCGCACTCGAGAAAAATGGCGGTAAAAAAATTTAAATTACACAGAAACGCCGCAATAAATTAAATTGCACGTTACATCCTCGTGGGCCGTATAGATGCAAAAACTCAACCTAAGTCCTGATATATGACATACCATCTCCCTTCGGAATAG